TTTCGCCAGAAATAGCAAGTATTTTCTTCCTTCTTAAGACTCTTTTTACATTTAATGTCTTAATCGACCCGGCCCGGGATCCTTCTCCTGTATAAGCTACCGCTTCTGAGTAAAAATCCTCTTCCGTAATTTGGTCCGCTACATCCTTGATTAGTCCTCTAGAAGTGACAAGACATTGTGGAATGTACCTATTATAGCATCTAGCAGAACTGAAACTTTCATTTGACAAAAACTGATTAGCAAACTCTGATGTTCTGAATTCAATTCCAATTTTATTAGCCCCTTTTCTATTGATTTTCGTTATACCTTGTATTCCAGCTCGGTGCAAAATTTTTCCAATATTCATTGGGTGAATGTTTCCAACTTGGTAAGTTACTCCCTCCATTATGATAAGAAATGGTCCCTGGCCTGTAAGTTCATATTTATACTTTCGGTTAAGTGTTCTCCTTATGTTGACTGAAATTCTTGCAATTTCGTTTAGGGCATCCTGATCTTCCACGAAGACAGATTTAATCTTTTGTAACTCTGTCTCCAATAAATCTATTTCCTCCTTAGTGGGTACTAAGAAGTATTGATGCTGAGCGATAGCATGTGCTGTTTTCTTAGCTAAAAGCGAAAGCGTCAAGGCTGGTGAATAACCACTACTAGAGGAGGTAGAAGCTTGGGACAAGTTTAGTTGAGCTTGAAAGGAATCAAAATCATTTGCGAACACTATCGGATTATTAACTACGATACGATCGTTTCTATCAGGGGGGTCTTTACCCCCGAAGCACATGCCATGATATGAAAAGCGCTAAATTATTGCGAACTGCGACACCAAACCAAAGCAAATATTTACGACTGACTAAATATAAAACTCACCCAGACCGAAAAATTCGAGTTGAAGACTAGAATTGCGTCAAAAAAATGAAAATTTTCTCGGACCGAGGTAAAATTGTGCACACCACTTCACCTGGTTGACCGAAAAAAAAAGTTTGGAGAGGTTATATTTCAATCCTCGGTCAACGCGAATGCACTCGGCCATTAGTACAGTTAAGCACTCGACCTTTGGCTCACATTCGTCTTCGATTTCCTAAGACGTTACTACTAAGTAATAATTGGTTTTTGTTGATAATAGCGGGTAGTAGTTAGGTAATATTTGGTCTCCTTGCGTTGATTAACTTCTGTCATTATTGGCCCATTGACCCAAGTGGTGTCGGAACCGAACATCGTATTGCCAGCACCATCGATCTCTTTATTTGGAACTTTGTGAAACTTCATCGGTCTTTCTTTCTTGGGCTTAACGATTTCCGCCGGTGCAAGTGGTTGCAAGATTTGAATCCGAATAAGTTTGTGGCATCTCGTAGTTTTCGAGGATTAAACCGGATTGAAATCGTATAGAAGTTACGGATCGTCGGCTTGATGGTAGTATTTTGCTTGGACGCCCCCAACATTACAGCTTAGGCTGGATTAAAGCTAACCAACCTAGCACCTGGCACTCTTCACCGCCACCCACGATCATCAGGCGTAAGTTTCAAAATTTATTTCACGCTTTGCACGTAATTATGGATACCGCAACTCATTATTTTGTTTTGTAGGTTTCTGGTTTTTGGTTTTGGTTTTCTTTTTGGAACCAGTTTTTGATTGTTGGACTGGTATTGGCTTCCCATTTGGTACTGGCTTTCCTAGTTCCGGTTCAATTGGATTTGGTGCCTCCTTACTTCGTGGACGGCTGTTATGAATTCTGCAACCCAAGAATTCCTCCTCCTCCTCGTCCAAGAGTGATAAGCATTCGTGCCTATCCCACTGACTGGTGAACCCGTAGGCAGTATACAGAACAGCCATCTTAAAGTTTGCCCGACTCTTTCGTTGCTGGTAACTGGAGGATCACAGATAAGCCTCTATTTACGATCCGGTTAATTTTATGCCTATTAAATACAAATTTCAATTTTTAAATATCAATATAAATTAAAGAGCTCAGTTAGGGTAAAGATAAAGTACGCAATTATAGAAACATTTTTTTGTAAGAATTATTTGTAAACGATCGATCGTAACCAAGCTTCCTGTACTTAGTGTGTACTTGAGCCAATATATGGAGATTTAAACTGGCGTGCCGGTCTTATTTATTAATTATTTATTTGGTTTTTTGGTTATTTGGGTTCGAACTTTGTTAACTTTGTGAGTTTCACTAACTTATAGTATAGGTTGGGGTTTTATCCTAGCTGGCGCCCCGGTTTCCAACCTTTGATTTATTTACTTTCTTTTTTTATACCCCGCCCATATTTTGAGAAACTGTGCTGCTTGGGCCCTATACTTACTGCTTCCAATCGGTAGCAAAGTGAGCAAAGTATAGTAGGATTGCTTCGGTCTCTCCTCCACCTTCAGTGGAAAAGAGACATGGCATGGGGTTTCGTTAGGAAACATACTAAACAATATTTATTTATTTATTTATTTATGTACTTGTGTTTAAATCTAAAATAAAATTACAAATTACTTTTGTTACCTACTTAAATTACTTAAAATTATTTACAGAATATATCAGTGCCACTATCGCTATTATCGCCTCTTCTAATTGTTATTTGTTCTCTGTTATTGGAAAAATGTGTTTCGACGTCATCGACGTCTTCTCGGCCATCTTGGAACAGCTCGTCCCACTTATAAACATTTTTTTTTTGCTCAAAGTAGATTCACCATATGTCGTTGTCAATATTTCAAGTGTTTTGCAGCACTGTATTCCTTTTTTTGCACAAAATTTTATGCAAATTTTTTGTTCCATTATTTTTAACAGCAATCGGGTAGCATACAAAACATGTGTATCACTTGTCTCACAAAAAAAGTAAGCGTGCAAACTAGCTGAAACTGTGAACGTATGTTAGGGGACATATCACCAAAAGAAATATATCTTTATATACACCTCATATGTCAGAACAATCCAGATAATCATAAGTCTATGAAGTTAAGAAGTTTAAAAAATGCCGATAGAGGCCTTCTTAATAATTTTTAAAGAATGAGCCTTTTCGAAAATATTATTTATTTAGAATCTGTGAGTGATTATGTTACATCGTTAAAAAGTTTTCTATTTGCAATTAGCAAATCATTTTTGTCATCCTTGAATCTTTAAATAAAACGCCACTATTTTCTAAATTGACTTTTAACCTCCTTTTTGCCATTTGTATCAAAATGTGTATCAACATGCTTACGATCTCTTTACGAAATGTTGCAAGGAAACATTTCAGGATAACGAGGACCTGTCAGAAGAAACATTTCTTGGTTATGCAAGCAACATGCTGAGTGGATTTTGTTTGTTTTAAACAAGGAATCAGCTCTTTAAGTTTTAGTTTTAAGACTCTTAAAATATAATTATTTCCTTTTAAGTAAGGTTGGTGATGGGCGTTGGAGTCGGCGGGATCTCAGATTTTCTGGATGAAATCTGGCACGAATCCCAAACCGTGGAGAAATAGCGAAATGTCTCAAGTGAAAAAGTTCTTCGACAATCGGTCCACGTGGATGGAAACTTGGAACCCAGAAAACTCACAACTTGTGGTGGAATACGCCAAACTAACTGCTGTGTGAAATTTCCACGCTTGGGGCCGGTTTATAAAAAATTACACAACTAAATTACGAATTGGCGACTTAAACAATTAATAAATCACAAGAGCAGCCCAGTCTTATAACTTTAATATGAGTCCTGATTTTCTTAGCAAGCAAGATGATCGACTTAACGACCAACGATATTATAGTAAAACAAAGATTTGCTCAAATTGGGTATCGCTATTCGTTTATGGTTTAAATGATCTATGCTTTAATGTGCTAGTCTAGAAAAAAAGTTCAGTTTTGTAATATGGATAAACAATTTTCGTATCAGGAGTTCTACTTATCAGTGTAACTCGGAATTTTACTGAAAAGATACAGCGGCACTGATTTATGGCAGCAGTGGAAATTGAGCATTTGCGGAATTGATTCTCTTATGGCAAATATAATAAAAAATTGGTTGTTTTTCTTTTTTTCTAACCTAGGATTCTATTAAAAAACTTAACGTTATTCAAAATATCGAATTACAGAAAGACTGGCAGGTAATATGTAGCTCAACGACCCTAAAAGACCCACTTAAACATTGTTTTCGCAATAAATGCAAATGAACTCGTTTAAAATTTAGCAAAAACGTATGGTTCCAAACAATATTTTTTTCAGTAAAATGGAAAGAAATAATTCTTGGTTTTATCTAAATGATTGCATTCGGCATTGGAGAAAATTTTATAGAAAATTTTTAATTGTTACTAGTTGTGTATAATGTAAGTGAGAAAATGTTTGTTAATTTTTTAACTTGGACAACAAAAGTATCTCAACCGAGGTATACAATTCGCATAGGTAAACATTTCGCATTGGAATTTGCGGTAAATGAACTGGCAAAAGTGATATCAAAGAATACGTTTCTGTAACTGCCGAAATAGCTATTAATTTTTTAAAAACATCTAACAAATTGTTTAGTGCTCTTTCTAGCATCAGTCGTGGAAGGGTTTTTCCAAGACGTAATTGCGACTATTTGGTAGCGAAATACAATCTTAAATTGCATATTATTGCTTATGGAACTGCTAGGTGCTAAATTAAGATGCGTAAGATTACAGGGCATAATTCAACAGAATCTTAATTCGGCGCATCAGTCTACTCTTTGGAATTACAAACAAAAATTGTTGCACCAATAGAACTCTGAAGAAATGTTTGTGAGAAGTCTAACCTTATCAATATGTCTCAGATTCGCTTCTGTATACGCTCCCATTATGCCTACATCAAAGGTTAAATGGGGAAAGTTTTAGAAGATTATTAGTGCAAATGGCGGATTTCGTTATTGCTCCTTCGTCATTCGTCATTGGTCATTTGTCAATCGACACCGGTCATTGGTCATTGGTTGCCACAATCCGGGTTAAAAAAAATCTGAATTTCGTAGAATTTCTTTTATTAAAGGACTACAGGTATAAACAAAACTAAAACTCATAGTCTTAAACCAGTAGTATTTGCACGGTTTTGGGAATATTGCATAAACCCTTTGGCTGCATTTACGGATCAGTCGACGTGGTAGCCTCGCAACGACAACGATCCTCGCTGCTATTTAAAGACGGTTAAAAGGTATATTTGATATGAACTAGGCTATACTAAACTTTTTACGATTTCCCTTCCAATGGCCGTTGCCAGAATGGGAGGGACAGCGTTACCGACCTGCATGTATCTTTTGCGGCGGCAGCCGCGAAAATGAAAATCGTCGGGAAAGCCTTGCGCTCTGGCACATTCGCGAACGCTAATGAGTCGATTCTGATTTGGATGTAAAACTGAAATGAAACAAAAAAAAATTTTGGTTATTTATCGTTATTTTCGAGAAACATTCGGAGAATCGAGAAGTTTTTGGAAGGTCTGCTTGGTTGTTCCAGAGCTTATTCACTTTGTAAATTAAGCTTGAGAAGACCATCTCAAAAAATATAAAACTATAGTTGTTTTCAATACTAAGCACGATATTTAACTTTTGTTGTTTACTTGGTTGACCAGAACAGGTAATTTCCAAAACAAAATCACACGATCCTGTCTTATTCAGAAATTCTTGAGCTTCTGTCAGAATACTACCCCTTGCTTGCACTATGTAGCAGCGGAGGCGGTCAGTAGACCGATACCAGTCATTGCTAGTCGATGGCGTTTTACTCAAATACACAACGGCTGAGCAAATTACTCAAGAGCCGGGTGGAGCACAAAACCGCTTTGAACATGGTGCTCGGCCAGGATCAAAGATCGACATAAGGAGGAGGTTTTAGAAGGAAACAGCAAAGGCCCGAGGGCAATACTCCCAAATAAAGGGCTAAGAGTCCTCTAGCGGAAGCATCCAAGGGTTTCTACAGGGCTATAGCAGAGAGTAGTCACCCATCCTCAACACCGAGCCCCTTACGAACAAGCAACTTTCCATACAAAATGTATACAAATTGAGAATGGGTCCTCAGTGCCGCTTCCTTATCTGGATCATACAGGAGCTAGATGGAGGGTGCAATAAAGCGTGGGAGAACTCTGAGCAGAAGTTTGTGTGAGGCAATAATCTCTCAAAACCATACGTTTGCGTAGCATACATACCGGACGATCATGCTGATCAATGACTCTGATGCGTGAGTGGCTCATTTTATACTGGGAAAGGTCAGAGCAGTACCAAACATAGACGAAGCGTCCATAAAGTCACTGGAACAGCTTTCTTCAAGTACATTTACTCCACTGCAGCTACCGCTAAGCTGTTTGGGGCAGATCAGCTACTAGATGGCAGGGGAAAAAAAGCTGTTGCGGACAAGATTTTCCACCGAGAACATTGAACAAGTATAATATTTAATTTCTTTTTATTATGATAAAATTGTTTCAAGTTTTTGCTTTGTTCGCAATGTATATTCTATAGTTTATGTTTAATTCCATAATGTCGGAAGAAAGCTCTTTAAAATACAAGTTACCTTTCCCCTGGGCTCTCATGGGTTGCACGGTGGTAGTGACTGTGGCGAAACATCCGTCCCACGAAAGCCTTCCGTACACGTTGCGCCAGTTGTTGTTTTTTTCTGCAGTGTGCGCGACACTCCACGGGATTAAAGTATTCGATTTTCTTAGATCATCGGAGCAAGAGCTGCCGTCACCCTCGAAGCACGGGCACATGGCTCGTCTGTGATCCGCATCCTTTTGGTTTTCGAATCTGCAAAAACCATTAGTAGTGAATATCGTATTCTCTATCTAGGAGGAATCTCGATTACAAGGAGCAAGGTTGCTTACATAAAAACTGCAATATTATGCGCCTAAAATAAAGGTTTTGAACTACGAAAGAAATGCTACGTTGCCAGTTTACTACCACGTAAGAATCGTAAAGTACTACAACTAACCACACTGCGAAGACATAATGACTGACTGTGACTTCCGATTCCGAAATCGGAACTCATAACGATGTAGATGAAGTCATAGCCTTAATGGAGTATCTTTTTTGGAAGTCGTAGAGTACGTTTATGAATATATGTTAACTTAAGGGGTGGGGTAAGGGTTTCAACCCTGAATAAAACTCTCCCCAAAACCAAAGCACTTTTCTATTCGGCTCTTCGGTCTATATCGTAATGCCGTTCGTTCTTGCGTAGCCGGAAGAGCATGCCGCTGGTCCGTCCTGACTCAGCATACGTGACTCTTGGCGGCCATAGAAAACATATCGCTAACACGGCCATCCTGCTCTGAAAGCGTCCTCGCGCTATTTCTAAAATTTTAGAAACCAACAACAGAATTTTTGCAAATGTTACTATTTAAAGTTTAACTCATTACAATCAGACAACGGGGTTACTATTGTGACATGATTTTTTTTTGCAATATTGGGATTGCCATTATTCCTCTACTTAATAATGGGATTGCCATTATTAATCTCACTCTTTTTTTTTAATAATGGGATTGCCATTATTAACCTCTTTTTTTTTTCAATAATGGGATTGCCATTATTAGCCTTTTTTTTTCAATAATGGGATTGCCATTATTCTTCTACTTAATAATGGGATCGCCATTATTAACCTCTTTTTTTTTAAATAATGGGATTGCCATTATTCTTCTACTTAATAATGGGATTGCCATTATTAACCCCTTTTTTTTAACTTTAAATAAGCAAGCAAAAAGTAAATAATCGTACGTTACCGACCTTTTGTGCGGTAGACGGCCATGCACGCAGTTGTTCATGAGCAGCTACAGTAGTTTGCCGTCTTTGCTTTTGTAACGTATATCTGTCATTAGGTAGAACTGCACGTACAGTAAATGGTCCTTTGTATTTCGATTTCAATTTTCCTCCGCCGGCCAGTTGAGAATCTTCCACAGCCACAAGATCCCAACGGTAAACAAATTCGCTTCATAACGCGAGGCATTGAAGTGTAAAGCCCGCTGGTCGGCACATTTTTTTAGACGTACTTGAGCCTCTGCAACAGCCTTGTCGGGATCAACAAAGTTATCGCTCGGCAACGCATCTAATAGAAATTGCTGAGTGCCCAGCAACCTCGGATTTCTGACCTGATGTAACACCTTGGGAGTGTAGCCTGTTACGAATGGACTGTAGAATTTATATTATCTTCTATGGCAGGAACTACGACAGTCCTTTTTTTTTTCTTTCTCGGCAATCAAAGTTGCCCGCATTAAATTAAACACAGTGCGCATAAGACGTTCGACTTGGGCATTGCCTCTCGGAACTCCAGTAGCAATGTTATGAAGTTCAACATTTCGCGCACTTAAAAAATTCCCGAACGTGGTCGAAGTAAAAGCAGCTGCCCTGTCAGCTCGGAGTTCCCAATTCATCAAAAACTGAGACTAGTGCACAAATGGAATCACCCGACGTTTTCTTTGGAATTGGCATTAATCGGAAAAGTTTTGAAAATGCATCAATTATAACTAAAATTTGGTTACAGCCATTGGATCTTACTAATGGACCAGCATGGTCAATATGCCAAGTATGCAATATATCATCAGATTTTTGACCATATTGCCAAAACCCTGATCTACGACCAGTGTGCGATTTTCCTAAGACACACGCTCTGCAATTTCTGATATACTTCTTTAAACATTGTCCCATTTTAGGCCAGAACAAATCTTCTCGCATTTTTGTAATACTCTTTTCCCAGCCAATGTGCGACGACTCATCGTGATATAAACGCATTACCAGCAGACGCGTGCCAACAGGCACAAAACACCTTGAGGATTTGTTTTTGTTCGTTATAGTATAATTGGAATCACTATCGGGGTTTTCAAACATTGAGCAGCAAAATGGATCATTGTTTTGAAATTCCTTTAAAGTTTTAATATTCGATATTTTGTTAATGTTGATCGTTTTCAAAGCACACACTTTAAGAGCACTTGGCACGCTGACTGGGTTGCATTGATCCGGCACATAAAATAACACCAAGATATTTAGTCTCTCGGGTCAAAAACTTGCATTTTTCATAGTTCAAAGCAAACCCATTGGTAGATAGTGCATTAAGTACATCTTCCAGGTTCTGCAGTCCCTCTTCAATACTTTTTGAAGGCACTAGTAAATCATCAAGGTAAACAAAGGCTTTTGTTCCCTTTAAATTACCCAATGCATTATCACTGGCACGTTGATATATAACTAGAGCATTGACATAGCCAAATGGCATACGGTTAAACTCATAATGACCATCCGGTGTGACAAATGCTGTGATGTGTTTTGCATTTGATAGAAGCCGGATTTCATATCTAGTGAAGTAAAGTATTTGGCATGGCAGAGAGCATTGATCTGAGCTTGATATATGCGGCAGCGGGTATCTTTCTCTGACGACTCTCTTGTTGACATCACGTAGGTCCACGCACATTCGAAGTTCACCATTCTTTTTTGATACTAGAACTATCGGGCTTGCATATTCTGAGCGACTTTCACGAATTATACCGGCACTAACTTGAAGTCTTTCTTGATATGCCAACCTACGAGGTCGATACGCCAGTGTCCTTTAAGTTTATTGTCATTTCACCAGTCATAATCTTGTCGGGAGTTTTATTTTTGTAAAACAATAAAAGACTTGCTATTCTTAATTTCAAGTCCTCTTTCAAGTCAGGTTGATTAATCACAACCCTATCCACACTTCTTAAAGTCATTACGTTCGAAATATTGAGCAGGTTATGGTGCAAAATTGTTTTTTTTCGATTCGTAAACAAGGTCGGCTGATGACATCCCATCCAATAATTAGGTCAATGTTCGCTGGCATAAAAACATCTGGTACGACCGCATAGGTAATATCCAAACTCAACGTCGGCATAACAGTGATTAAATTACAAACACCGATAGCATAAATAATTTGGGTCCTAAATCCCGAAAAGGCACGGACCTCATCGACTGTTTTGATTATCGGGTTTAACGTTTGAGCTACAGAATACTTTATAATAGATTCATCGGCACCAGTATCAATCAAATAAGAAAAAGAGAGAGCACTATTTTTGCACAATAACGTCGCTGTTGGTGTTACGTTCAAATGGCGTCATTTTTTAAATAAAAATGTCTTTTTGGGTATCCCATTCTTATACCAACAATCACTTTCACCGTGGCCAATTTTCTTACAATTGTTGCAAGTTGGGACTTTGGATGTACCTGGAGCCTCTTCTCGAACTACGTTTGTTTATTGTGACAAGTATCACGATGGTGTCCTTGGCGGCCACATTTAAAACATGATCATTTTAAAATCTTCTTGAATTTCTCATGGCTTTCATCTCGTTTTTCTCCGAAACAGAATTTTCTTTTAGGCAGATCATCGATTTCCAAAACACGTTTGACACTTCGTCCTGCATCATATTCGCTTAGTAATGTCAAAACCTCACGATCGGATTGCGGTAGTTGTAAATAGAGCAAGGTACGTACTTCTGCGTGATCTAACCCATAATCAACCATACTTAAAACCTTGTCCCAGGGCAATTTTTCATAAAACCTGTATATACTACGAAGTTTCTGATTGCCATAATCACATAAAGAATCAAAATCACGACTTCGCATGGTGGCAGCTTTAAATGCGCGAGCCCCAGGTGTTTATCAGGAAACGCAGTGATGAGATCAGCACAAAAATTTTCCCAAATTCGGCGGATCGGCCGCCATTCGCAACAGTATCGATAACCTCGGTTTTTCAAAGCCTCGCCTGCCCTAGCGATCATTAAATTATCGTTGACGTTTAATTCGTCTTTTAATATCGTAGCGTCTTCTAACCACTCACGGATTGGGTAAGCGCTGTTATCCGGATCGTAGCTGGTTAATTTGAATGTCGATGTTGACGCCTGCGTATTTGGTCCTACTGCTACTGAAGGTTGGGCGTTGGCATTTCCTTTGAATGTGACGATGACCTCATCGCCATCTTTGTTTGTTTCGCCAACTCAGCAACTTGTTGTTGTTGGGCAGCGATTAAATTAATTAAAGTTTCTTGCCACTGCACTGTCCCTTTCGAAAGTTCAGGAATAGACTCGACACTAGGTGACACATTATCTCCGTTCGAATCTGTTCTAAGATTCAGTGCAGCACCGTTTGTGAAATTGTCTGCCGCCATTTTCACACTAATTCGTATTGCTTTTGCAACACTGGACACGGAACTATCCCACTTCTGATGTTAACTTAAGGGGGGCGTAAGGGTTTCAACCCAGAATAAAACTCTCCATTTGAACTCGCAAAGATGATTGCTTGACAAATATTAAGTATTTCCGTTTCTTTGCTGGCATTACATGTTTCGCTGGAGACAAGAAGACTAGTTAAAAAATATAAATTATTTGCTTTTTGTAATCCTTAATTTTTAA